GGGCCTGAGATACTTTTATACGCCGCGAGGTGGCTTGAGTGATGTGAGGCCGAGTGCCGAGTGAGGTGAGGCCGAGCCGAGAGATGATGCCACGAGGTGGCTTGATATAGCGTTTGGGCCGTAAGGGGCCCCTCCGGAGTCTGCACACTCCAGTGAGCGCGGGTACCCATTATGATCTGAGAGTGAGCCCGAGGGGCTGATGTTGTACTGGGTGATTGATATTGTGCCCAAGGGGCGGATTTCTACTTGTTATTTACCTGCTAAATTACATGTTTTACTTGTTTTAAAGAGATTTCATTCCACTTCTTCACTGATTTACTGCTTTGATATAGAATTGCTTTGTGCCTTTACCTGTTTTCATGCTTTCAGCCATTATTTATAATTATTACTCACTGTGTCGGAGTACTCACATTACTCCATGCACCGTGTGTGCAGATTCAGGCATCGCAGAGTCCGCTCCTGAGTGCTGATCCTCCCAGACCAGGCAGTGTTCCGGAGACTGCGAGGTAGCTGTTGGCGTCCGCAGCCCTCCCGTGCCTCCCTTATCTTATCATTTTCATGCTTTTAGAACTATTGTATCGGATTCAGTGTTTAGTAGACTTGTATTGGAATTTCTTAGTTGCTCATGACTTGTGACACTCCGGTTTGGGCTGTGTCGTGATGGTTTCTACTATTGTTATAGTTATTTCCGCAAATTATGGTTATTATATCATCTTTTAGAACTATTTATAGTATTTAACTGCTTAAAAGAGGTGGTTTATTTTGGTATGGCTGGCCTTGTCTTCACGAGAGGCGCCATCACGACTGGATGCGGGGATGAGGTAGTGACACAAATGCTTGAATCCATGTTCAATATATTTAAATATATTCACGTGTGAAAATGTTGTTTCTATTAGTCGTGCAATTTTCATGATTCCGTATTTAATTAATCTAAACTCAATGTTTGAGATACTATATTCTCATGTGATTGGAACTAAATGTTTAATTTTAGGATAGTTTTCCAATACATGTTTCTTTCATTACGTTGCTAGTCTTTTTTGAAAATTGTTTAAAAATATCAGTAGTAGTATAACTTGGGGAATAATATAACCTTGTTTTCATGTGTTTGGATATAAGTTAAGATTAGCATGGTATTATGATACATATACTGTACGTATACTTTAACATATTAACGTATGTTTACTGAAAATTTCTTTCGACACTTGAATCCAGTTTAACTAGGAATAGTATATTCATAAAGGATATCACAATGGCCCCCATGAAGTTGGTTAGACTAATCTTGAATGGCTCTCACTATTTTATCCACTTTCTGTTACTTTAAATTATTAGTATTAGTTTTTTGTTGTTGTTTTTGTTTCACCATTCCTGCGTGCTTTGGTTGTTATGTCTATTTTCCTTTTATTAGATGGGACGACCTCGAGCCTCTTTTTGATTGTTTATTTTCTTTTGTGTTCTTTTACCTCAATTAGAATATCCTTAAAAGCTAACTAGACCGAGTATGCAACCGTATTAGTTATGGGATTTGGGGAGTGCCTAACACCTTTTCCCCGAGTCAATTGCTTATACAATACATAATGGCCGTACAAATACACTCAAGATGTTCAAGAAGTCTCATTTACCTAATATAAGTAAATTACAATTTCTACACAAATTAGGAAAGCAAGCGAGAAAAAATGAAGTTGTTTCTTTTGAAATCATTTGAGTAAAGAAGGTACCCCTTTCAATTAAAATACAACATCGAATGGATTTCTACTTTTAACATGGGAGTTAATAACTTTAAGCTTAGTAGAAATTCTTTTTTTAAGTAAAACACAACCTCAGGCAGTTTAAGGGGATATAATNAAAGGATCACATCAATAAAGGGATTTAAACAGTTAAAGCACTTGAATTGATAACAACAAATAAACACAACAACAGAAAGTGCACGGCATCACCCTTCGTGCTTTTACTCTCGTTCTCACCATAAGAATCAATATTCACTTTTATTCTTTCTTGTTGCGGCATGCAACCCGATCCCAAATCATATAATACCGTTGTGGCGTGCAATCCGATCCCATTTCACATAATACCATTGTGGCGTGCAACCCGGTCCCATTTCACATAATACCGTTGCGGGGTACAAGCCGATCCCATTTCATATAATACTGTTGCGACGTGCAACCTGATCCCATTACCAATTGAACCTGGGAGGGAAAAAATAATTTCAAATTTTCGCCAATTTCGGTCGGTATACTTGAATTTTTTTAATTAAAACTTATTTTGGTAGATAATATGCAAGTATGACTACGTCTTAGTTAAAGATTGACCAATTTTCGACCGATATCAATGGAAATTTTTGTGTGTTAGATGTAGCAGTGTTTCTTTATTGTGGGAGCACTATTTGCGACCGATGGTGGCCGATATCTTTGTGAGAAATATTTTTTTTGACTTTTGCGATCAGTTTACCTATTTTCCGACCGATTTCGGTCGGTATTCCGTGGACGATTTTTGATAGTTTTCTAATAGTGAAATGTTCTCAAGTCTTCAATTAATTATTTTGCTATAAAATAGTGCCACCACCAATTTTTTTATTATTATCAAAGAACTGGCCCTACGTCTGTATACCGTGATAACTAATGACACTTCATGTGGGGTCTTTTGAAGTGGAGCTTTGGAGTAATGGTAAAATTGTATTCGTGTAACCTATAAATTACGGGTTTGAATTGTGGAATTAGTCGCTGATGTTTGCATTAGGGTAGACATCACCCCCTTGGGGTGCGACACTTTCCTATACCCTGCCATAGATTTTTCCCAGCTATATTTAGGTTTTCTTGGCAAATACATGTTTGTTCATAATTTTATTCATATTTTGGCAAATTCCCAAACCCCAAACCCAAATCCCAAAACCAGCTCAAGAGCTGGTTTTGGCCCAAAATATTACTATTACATTTTTTAAAAATTACCCCAATTTTTGAATTTTATAAAAGAATCCACCATTTATTATTTTATAACAATTCTATTTCGTCTTCTCGGTCATCTGATAGTGTATTATGTAGTTTATTATATAAAATGATAATCTTGTACCAAATTTATTTATGTTCAGGACTATGAGTTGCGATAGTATAATGAATGTTATTGATGAAGGTACTGTTGGGTATTTGTAATAGTTCTTAGAACTTATATATTTCATGTTTTTTAAAAAAAAAGTGAAATATATTTTAAAAACTGACGTCTAAATACATTTTCATCTTCAAACCAAACTTCACCTAAATCAAATTTTTCAAAACAAAATTAAGAATCTATGGCAAAACGCTAGATAAGAATGTCACGAAAAGTTGCAAGGGAACTCCCTTAAACATTGAAAGGCCATAGCCCACTATTGCTCCCAAACGCACACGCAAGTATACGTGGTCGTGCAAGTAATATAATGATAAGTTGAGTGTCGAACTCACAAAGAGTTGTGTAAACTACTCACTAATTCGCTAAAATTGTTATTCAATCCAGGTAAAAACAAAGTCCAATAATATGATTATATGATACTACGATTCTAAATAATAACTAAATTATCAAGTAACGAGATGATTGTTGTGTATTCAGTAGATACAAATATTCCAGAGTTGTGATCGATTCACCAATCGTATTGTGTTATAATTAACTCTCCATTTCATATCATTCACTCATGGTTGCTAATTAATCGATAAATGCTCTCATAGCCTTCTCCGAAGTACTACTCACCTATTCTCAATAGATTAACGCCTATATTCCTATGAAATCAATCTATTAAAAACGTATTAAGATAACGATATTTAATTAAGCATGGTGACTAGGTATATTCCTATCCTAACCACAAATCCTCTCCCGCTAAGCGTTAAGATCATGCTCTCTTCAATTCTTCTCTAATCTAAACACGACTTTCCCAAGCATAGCATAGATAGTAAATAGAGCCTAACTGTTGGCCAGACAATTAAGCAATTCAACACAGAATTAAAGAAACAACCATATATGAGTGAATTATAATCAAGGTCAAGCTAATATCAAACAACAATATTCATGGCTAAATCACAACCCCAAAATAATGGGTCTTTATCCACTCATGATATAATCAAACAATTGCATAAGTATTGAATCAATTGGAAATACTAGAAAAACATGAAGAAAACTGAGAATTCTTTGCTTCCTCACGATCCCGTGTGTATCTCTACTCCAAAGTGGCGTCTCCTCCCTAAAAAATAGGTTTAGTCTTGCTTTTATATCAGTTGGGTAGGTCTAGGACCGAAATAAACTTGTCCCGGGCAAAATAGGACACATTTCACGTCACCAGCGCCCAACCCGGCGCCCCATTATTTGTGCATACTGTTTTTGGCGTCACAGGTGGCGCCAGGCACTGCCTGTGGCGCCCAACTGGCCCTTTTTCCCGGTTCGTTCGTGTTGGCTCAAATCTCGCGTGTTTCGCCCAGTTCTGTTTAGAATTTGAAAAAACGTAAAACATGAAAGGTGTAGCCCTTTGAGTTGCATTTTCAACCATTTATTGTGGAGCCCAAATGGAGTTCTGAGCAAAAGGTTATGTGTATTTTACTAGACAGTGCGCAAAGTTGACCCCTAACACGATCCCGACTTAATTCCTTGGGCTTTTACTGAGACTTCAAAGTTCCAAATCACTTGAATTCATTCCATAACATCTATATAGCTTGGAATCACTCCTACAAGGCATAAAACACATCGTTAGTGCAAAACATTAGTGATTAAAGCGCAAACTCAACTAAAGTACAGTAAAGTAGAATGTAATAATCGACTAAAATACATAATTATAGCCTATCATCACCCACATGGAATCCACTTGCAAATATCTTTATTGACTACGGCCACCTGTCATTCACACTCTTGTTAAATTGTCATTGGCTACATTAAAAATAAGAATAAAGAAAGACCGTAATTTCGAACACGAGTCAACTCTTTTCCACATAACTACATTTTCTTTGTGTGTGTGTGCAACAGCTGCATGAAGTGAACATATTCCTCTGAAAAATTCTCCACTCCCATTTACATTCTTGTTTACAAAAGAAAGAAAGATGGCAGATGCAGTGGTGAATTTTCTGGCGGAGAACCTATTGCAGCTATTAACTGATAATGTAAAGATGATTGGAGGTGCAAAGGGAGAGTTAGAGAATCTGCTGAAAGAAGTTCAACACCTAAAAGGCTTCTTAGACGATGCTGCAAAATTACCAAGTGACAGCGAGCAGTGGAAAGTGTTTGTGGAGGAGATTCAGAAAACGGTACATAGAGCTGAGGATACCATTGATAAGTTCGTGGTTCAGGCGAAGCTGCACCAAGAGAAAAATAAAGCGGGAAGATTCTTCGATGTGAGCCATCTCGCTACACTTAGAAATCTTGCAGCTGAGATCAACGGCATCCTTGAGCAAGTCAAGAAACTTCGCGAAAACAATCAACAAGCTTTTCAGCCCACTAAATCGATACCGGTATGCCTGAAAACCAAAAGCTATTTCTTTTCTTCTTTTTTTCTTCCAAAAAGAGTACGCAATCATTGCATCTGAAGTTCATCTATTCACTATTCTGCACTATATCACAACAACAATAATAATAATAATAATAATAATAATAATAATAATAATAATAATAATAATAACGACATCTGTATTTGTTTGAACATCTGTACAGATGTCATTGCAAGTAGGTAGAATAGGAATCCGGAACAAAAATGTGGTTTTTTTTACTCAAACTACACAAATAGGTGGTAAAAAAAAAGTTACATTTTTATATATAGCGCCACAATACCTGACGCTATACATTAACAGTAACAAAACCGTTAATGTATAGCGCCAGGTATTGTGGCGCTATACTGCAAAAGCTGACATTTACAGGTATAGCGCCACAATACCTGGCGCTATACATTAACGGTTCCGTTACTGTTAATGTATAGCGCCAGGTATTGTGGCGCTATAATAGATTTTCCTGGCCCCACCAATAATTTCGGACTTCAATAATTCAAAAGCGTATAGTGCCAACGTTTTTGGCGCTATACATATAAAAAAAAATCCGGCTAGCCATTTCCTATATAAAGAAGTTAGGATTGTATAGAAATTCATCCAAAAAAATTTGTTAACTCTTGTTGAAACGTTTATTGTTCTTAAATTCTCCAACAGTTTTACATTATGTCTGAAGAGCGTAGAATAAGAGTTTCATTATATTGGGGAGGTGAGGTTGTGATGGAGAATAATTCTGTGGGCTACAGTTTACCTGCTCAGTGTCATGTTAAATTGCCACTTACAATAGAGTACGATAAATTGATATCGTTATTATGCAAAAAACTGAGTGTGAGGAAACGTTCAGTTATAGTTAAAGTAACCGGAAGATATCCGTATTCCATCACTCCACAAGGGGTTGTTTTTTACTCGGATTTT